TTTTGTAGAATTTGATCTATATTTATTCTTTGTGGAGTTTGATCTTACATATAGAAATTGAGTCACAAATAAGTTTATGTGTTTCAAATGTTGAATAGAATTTTATAAAAAAAATTTTGGTCCAATTGTTTATACAACAAGAGATTTTATATGTATAGAGGAAAACTTATATCAGTTAGGACTATTAAAATAAATTAGAGTTTCAATTTCAAATTATTTTATTTTATTTTATTTAAATAAAATTTAATTTAAAATATAAAAATTATTTTTCAATTAAAGAAACATTTTTTTACTTAATGAAAATCTTATAATTTTAAATAAAAATAATATTATTAATTTGTATTTTTCTTAATAGAACATGTATATGAAGTTATGAACTATGCATTTACTCGTTTGTCATTTAATTATAAAAAATTTCATGATAACGAAATATTATCAAAACTCATTTCATGATAACAAGAGAAATTTTATGTAAATATTAAAAAGAAAATCCATGAATATCATGTTTTAATAATCTTTTGTACTATCTTCTTAATTATTATTTAATCAACCAAAGGGTTTCTTTTCCAAAGATACAGAGTATATGCTACGACGCCAGCATGATTTCCATGAATAAAAATTAACCAAAAAAAAAAAACCTCCTAATCAATTAATCTAATAATTGAATAACTGTGGACAAAGTTGAAAATGGATTATATATATTACTTTTTATTACATAATTTCAGTTATTCAGTCAATGACTTTTTTTTATTAAAAATAAAAAATCTTGAATTTAAGTCACATAATATGTAGGCGAGATATGATAAGAAATGAGAGATTATTGTTTTTGATTGTAAACTAAAAAAAAAAAATCAACCCCTCTCTTTTTACCATCATGCGGTTGCTTTTGCAAATCATCATTAATATAATAATTGAATAACTGTGGACAAAGTTGAAAATGGATTATATATATTACTTTTTATTCATAATTTCAGTTATTCAGTCAATGACTTTTTTTTATTAAAAATAAAAAATCTTGAATTTAAGTGACATAATATGCAGACGAGATATGATAAGAAATGAGAGATTATTGTTTTTGATTGTACAACTAAAATTAAAAAAAAAAAATCAACCATCCG